TTCTCATTGGAACCGCACCCGACACACACACACATACATATCTTTGTTTTATCAATAAAATATATGGAGTATTTAAAATACTTTTTTATAATTCAGCAAGTTAAGACACTTAACAAATATGAGTCACAATTTTCACCAGTTTCATCCAAACTACACCTTAGTGACCTTACCAAACGGGCTCTAAGTTTTCTACAAGTATAATATGTTGAACACTTTTTTCTAGGGGGCCTCTACGTTGTATGGCCCACACACGCTAAGTGCCTACATTCAAGAATTTAAGAAGCTAGCTGAGGCCCTGATAAATGATCAGCCAGTGGAAGGTGGTCCACAACCTCCAGATTTACTAGACAAGCAATTGAGCTTCTTGACACCCGTTGTCGTGGATTCAACACCTCTGGGGACCAACTTTGGAGATGTCTTGACAGATGTTCCTAAAAACTCCACTGTGAAGAGAGGAGACTTGGTGACAGTTAGTTTCCACTCAGCATGCCCCCGTAACGACCTCATGACTGAGGGTACATTTGCCCTTGTGGAGATCCTCCAAGGAAAGGAATTGTGGGTTCCTGCTTATGACGACGATGATTTCTGCCTTAGGTTTATTTGGTCAAGACCCGCTAAACTCAGTGCTAGGAGTCAGGCAACCATTGAATGGAGAATACCATCCACAGCTGCTCTGGGTGTATACAGAATAAGGCATTTTGGTGCTGCTAAGTCTCTCTTCGGCTCCATTAAGCATTTCACAGGTACATCGAGTGCTTTTGTGGTGGCGGCTTAGGGAACTTGACTGTAATATTTAAACTACCTATTGCATAATCATAGTTTGTGGTGATTAGAAACAGTTCTTTAAACCATTGGTTCCACACTTGTACTCCCGTGTATACCTGCATTATTATGCAGAAATTATTGAATGAGAATGCAAACTAACACTTCTACCTAGTAATAGCGATACTCCATGCAGGGTTGTACTGGTTTCAAAACAGACCTAGACTGGTTGGTTTCCTTCCTCCCTAGAAACCGTACCAGTTATTCGGTTATGGTTCGCAACATATACGAGAACTGGTTTCGGTTGTTAACGGCTCTTTTAAAATAGGGCTTTACTGGTTCCACTCCCATATCTTCGTTTTAAAATAGGCTAAAGAGTTAGAATCACTAGCAGAGCAAGGGGGCCAGCCTAGGCCCGTTCCACTCTAGGTTTATAAAATGCATTAATTTTTGGTGTAAAAAAATCTGTATACTCCCCAAAAAATATTCTTTGTACCGGCTTAATTCGGCATAGTTCCCCCGGCTCCACGCCACGTATCAGAGAAGGCATGAAACCGTTAGAGGCTCGTATGGTTTCATGCCTTCTCTATTCTAAGTACTACAAGGTCCATCCCTATCTCCATGCATTAGAAGCCACTTTGCATGCAAGTGGCACTTCAATCTTTGTATCTTGAAATTGTTGGCATTGAGATTCTCTACCCAGCGCCAGCGCCCCAGCGGGGCAAGGAAATTTGTCTGCCCCCAAACCTAGGCATCATTTCACTCATAAGTCACAACAATTCAGTTCTAGATTGGCGGATCTTCCGTTGATGTTGGGTGAATTTACGGTCAAAATGCGGGAATCAGGTATGGGGCAATTATTTTGGTCATCTGGTTTGTGATTGGATGGTCTTGGGAGAAAGGCATGATGCCTGGATTTGGTGCCAAGTAGAAGCGTCCAAATTGCGAGTAATGTGAGTGAGCGGTTAAGGGTGTGATTGGGAGTTTGATTTTGAGGGGGAGGGGAAGGGATGTGAGGGTCAATGACCATCCTTTGTGTGTTTGGGATTTTTTAAAAATGGAAGGAAAGACTTTGGAGGTATTTCATAATCCTTGTAAACCCCCCAAAACCTCATTTTTTTAGTTCTTCCAAATCGGGAGGTTTTGGGAGTGTTAAAAGTTAAATGACCACCGAATCCTTCCTATCTGCTGCGTAGTGCGTACGGTTCATACATTTATTTGTTGTTATGCCTTTTCACAACAAACTCAAGCTTCATTTTCAAAAAAAAATCAAACTTCATTAATCATTATACTCTGAATATAACACCCAAGCTCTACTGATGCATGCATATAAAAAAAAACTCAAGCTTCATTAAATATACGTGCGTGTGTTTTATGTTTTGTTTCCATCAATACTTCAAACAAATAAATTAGTTAATAATATACGAGTATATAATAATTATAAGAGATGAAATAATTCTCAAATAGGAGTAAAAATGAAGTAATTTTCCACACTATATCCCCTTTTTTTCAAGAATGAAAGTAAATAGTAATACTTAAAAAAATATGATTTGTATAAGTAAATACAGGAGTAGTTTTTTCAAGGAAAAATATAAAAATGGTATATGTGTCATTTTAATTACATTTCCTCCTAAACCCCTCCCTTCTCAAATTTGTAACTCCCAACTAAGAGAAAGGAATTCCTTTCCATCTCCCTCCCCTCCCCCTCTCTCTACTCCCCCTCAAAGCCTTTCCCTTCCCTCACCTCTAAACTCCCAAACACGCCCTAAAAGAATGGAGGAAATAAGGGTGTTTGATAGCTGGTTCTTTATGAGACAGTTAAATTTTTGACAATGTAATAGTATTGGAACATTGGAACCCAATTCCGTACATTTTAAATTTTAAAAAGAAGTTAACTTCCTCACCATCGAATACCCCGCCTGTATAAAAAGCTTTGAAACAGTTTTCAATTTTTCAATTTCGTTCTTCACTAATAGTTCTTCTCATTTTCTGACCTCTATGCTACTACGATGATGCAATTTACCATGTTACTTTCAAAAATCATGTGATAAAGGTTCAATATGCACATTAAATAAGGGAGTTTCCAAAAGAAGATTATTAAGAAGGATGTATGAATTTTTAGGAAAAATGGATACAAATAATGATCTGCTTTAATTAATCCAAAATATTGATTATCTTAAAATAATCCCAACTATTAAATAATATTTGTCAAGAGAAAATTCCCTAAATAGGACCAAAAGTCTAAAACAAAGGTTAAGTTCATAAATAGGACTATCTTTGTTTTATTCCCAAAATAGGACTCATTCACTTCTACTTCAATCAACTTATTCTTTTAGTAGGACTAAATAAGTCATGTTTGGGGCATAAAACATACTTAGTCCTATTTTTGAACTTTGTGTATGTTTTATTTTTAAATGAGATATTACCCAAAATGGACTAAAAAGTTTGAAAATTCTAAAATAGGACTTCCATGTTTTTATTCCCAAAATAGGACTAATTACTGCCATGTTTTGGCAGTACCAGACTTCAAACATGACAGTATTTTCCAAATTTGGCAGTAATTAGTCCTATTTTGGGAATAAAAACATGACAATCCTATTTTGGAATTTTTGAACTTTTTTAGTCCCATTTTGGGAACTTTCCCTTTTTAAATTGAACAATTTCTAATTTCAATAAATGCTCCAGTGACTTATAATAACTCATATATGACTTCTAACATTTACCGACCAATATAAATCACTGGAAGTTTTTGAGAATTTTATTCAATAAATGAGATTATTTTGAAATAGTTGATACTTTGAATTATTTAGAGCATACTACTAATAGTTGAGATCACTCTTGACCATTTTCCTAGTATCTATCCCCTCGATTGTTTAGTATTCTAAAGAAAAGGATTGGAAAATAAATCAATATTTCTTCATCTCATATTTCTTTTCAATTTCTCTTATATCACAATTCTGTTAAAAAAATCTGTTATATCACAATATTTCTAGTGTCTCACTGGTCTAACTTATACGGAGTAAAATATTATTTGAATATCTTGAAATTGATAAAGTCATGATTGAAACGTTCTTGAAATTTAATATATTTTTTTGAAAGAGAAATTTAATATATTTGGGATACATTATACAGAGTATTTAAAATGTACTTTATAGATGTACGACCCCACTAGTGATAAACTACTAAAGAAAGAACACGAGAAACTATATTATAGTATGCATCAACTTTAATAATTTAATTAATAAAAGGTACTTCCCTCCGTCCCCTTTTAAATGTCCCGTTTTACCATATTGGGATGTCCTTATTTAATTGCCTCATACCTTATTTGGTAAAATTTGTGTGGCTCAAAATCATTCTTACTTTATCAATTAATATCAACCACACAAACTCACTTTTCTTAAAACCCGTGCCACAATCTCCCGTCTCATTTAAAAGGGGACGGAGGGAGTACTTCGTATTTGAAACTTTTCTTTGTACAGTTATTATGGTGTATTATATTTTTTCATAATTATATACGTAGTATTGAAATCCAAAACTTGGAGATCACATTTATAAATGTATTTCTATCCTATTACATTAAAGGTTCTATGGTAACTAAAAGTGTTACAATAATGCTATTAGACAAGGTAGTTGCACATCACATTTGTTGTTTTAAATTGGAAAATGATACCTTAAAAGAATTGGAAAATGATGACATCCCATGTGGCTAGAGATTCAAACACTTGTGTCAAATTGTCAACTACTAGGAAGGTAGATGTAGTATAATGGATGATCATCCGCTCCCAAATCTTTCCTTTGTGAGTGAGGTTCAATTCCCGCATTAGGAGATGAGAGAGATCTTGTTATACACGATTCTCCCTATCTTTACGGAGTAGTTAGCGGCTGAGAAGGGTGAAAATGGTAATGAAACAATAGATTCGTGTGATGCGAAAAGCGTCTGGATGAGGCAAGTGATGTAATTCCTGCTAGACTATCATATCATTTAGGGCCACCACCCACGAGATTGATAACGATCAGATCCAAATTTATTTCTTTAGGATTTTGGAGATAGTTCATACATTCCAAGATTAGGGAGGTATGCCCCGACATATGGATTAGCAAAAAAATTGTCAACTACTCCATCACAGTTTTCATCAATTACGGATTAGTAAATAGTAACACCATTATTAATTATTACCCTGACTATTCAATACTTCCATTTCATACGGAGTATAAAATTTCTGCTTGGTGAGCCTGAGAAACAACCTCCGCGGTGACTGGTAAAAGCAGAACCAATCATAGTAGTATCGGCTACGCCTTAAACTTGTTGATTACTCATATCTCTTCATTATTCACACCTACACTGCAATTGCTCTTCATCATGCGCACATAACTACTCTCTCCCTGCTATTCAACCGCTGCCGGTGATTTTCGTTTCTCAATGGCGTCCGATCAGCTCGAGATCTCCTTCGCCGGAATATTCGCTTGCAGCGCCTTCGCTGCTTGCTTCGCTGAGGTAAATTTGACTTCGATTTTACCTCATTTTCGTGTTCAACTCATAATGTCAGCACTGTGCTTTCACACTCGAATCACCATTTAGTACTCCCTCTTGTTATGTAGTCACTAGTCATTTGAATGTGACGGTGATGCTAAAATTCGATGGTGTATTGATTTTGATATTTTGGCAGTTCTGTACTCTACCTTTAGACACAGCGAAAGTTAGGTTACAGCTGCAAAAGCGGGCTGCATCAGGGGAAGGAGGAGGAGGAGGAGGTGCATCCAAGTACAAGGGATTGTTTGGTACTATGATGACGATTGCTAAGGAAGAAGGGATGGTTTCCTTATGGAAGGGCCTTGTACCAGGCTTACATCGACAGTTTCTTTATGGTGGCCTAAGAATCGGGTTGTACGAGCCTGTGAGTGCTCAGATTGCATGTGTACTGCTTGAGCTATTTATCTTCGTTAGTGCTTGTATTTACATATGTGGAGGCAGGTTAAGGCACTATTGGTGGGAAGTGATTACGTGGGAGAAGTTTCTTTGTTCAGCAAAATACTAGCTGCACTTTTAACTGGTAAGAAAGTTATTGATATTGAAGCGCTAAAGTTTTCCTTTAGCTTTAGTGTCAGGTTATAACATTCTTAAATTTTCCTTTGGTTCTGGATCCATCCCATGAAAGGTGCTATAGCGATTTCTGTGGCGAATCCCACTGATCTAGTGAAAGTTAGACTTCAGGCTGAGAGTAAAACACATGCTGGTGCACCTAAGCGTTATTTTGGAGCTATGGATGCATATTATACAATAGCAAAACAGGTATCACTCCCCAATCATATGATTGGCCTGACCTTTTATAGGTTTGAGCTTAACAGGTTTAAATCGTAGGAAGGATTTGCAGCTTTGTGGACAGGGCTTGTGCCAAATGTTGCACGAAATGCAATCATAAATGCTGCTGAGCTAGCTAGCTATGATCATGTCAAAGAGGTACATAACAAATTCTTTGCGTGGAGTTATGTATGGCTTATCAATTACCGTCTGCATCCCCATTTTATCTCCCAATGTAACTTTATAAAGGTTTTAATAAAGTGAAAATCTTGTGGCTTAAATTTGTACACAAGATAAAGATATTATAGCAACCACATGATTCTTTACTAAAAGAAAAGAGAGGAGACTATTTGGAAACTAACACAAAAAAGAAAAATGAGGATAAAAAAGAACAATGAGAATATTGTCAAGCATTAGTAGTGAGAAAAAATTTCCATCATTTCCAATGGAGCTAAATACACTATTTTTTGGCTCGGGAATATGACGGAATAAAGAAAAATAGTCCATGCAATTTCTGATGTGATTTTCATCATGGGTCATCCAGAAATAGTCGCTCCCCCCTTTAGTACAGGGGTAACGTACATCCGAATATCCGATCCCCCGTTACCCCAGCATAGGTGGGAGCCTTTGCGGCACTGGGGTAATGTTGTTGTATTAGTAGTGAGCAAAAAGTCCATCATTTCCCATGGAGCAAAAAAATTACTATTCTTTGGCTTGAAAATATGATGGAAGCAAAATGGCTCACTAAACTGTCTATGCTTCTTTGTTATGAAGCAGCAGTCATTCCATTCAATTTTTGACGTGATTATCATGATATCATCATGGGTCATTCAGAAACAGTTTCTCTATGCTTTAGTATATGGGTAAATCCGCGTACCTTTGACTCCCCCCTTATTCCACCGTAGGTGGGAGCCCTTGTGGGGGCCAATGTTGTTGACTTGTTTGTGTATTAGTAGCAAGCAAATTTTGTTTATTATATCATGTTTTTCATTTTTCACCTCTTTTTTTGCAGACAGTCTTGAAAATTCCAGGGTTCACCGATAGTCCTTTCACTCATCTACTAGCTGGTTGCGGTGCAGGTTTTTTTGCAGTCTGTATTGGCTCCCCTGTTGATGTGGTAAAATTTCTAGGAGAAAAAATCATCACACAGTGATAGCTTCTATTTCTTCTTACTATTGAAATACTTTTCTGTGAAATACTGAAATGTTGTTGGGGTGTAATCAAACTAATATCTGAAGCAGTAATGTATTCAAAGTGGAGGATAAAAAGCATTGAACTCGAGTAGTCCATAACTATGGCATTGAACTTGCAGAGTATTTACATTGCTAAAATGAGAAACTTAATTCGTATTTGGATCATCATTGAAAATCTCTCTTCAACGCGATGGTAATATGGATGACCAAATAGAATGAGGGGGGTATCATATAAATATATAATCTAGTGAGAATGACTGTGGGGAACAATTCAACTGCGGAGTATATGAAGTTGCGGTTACGTGTTCATTCTATTCTAAACTATATACTTATTTTCTGTTTTACAGGTTAAATCTAGAATGATGGGAGACTCAATTTACAAAAACACTATCGATTGCTTATACAAAACTTTAAAGTTTGAGGTATTCTTCTTTCATTTTTTCGTCTCTATCTTCTATGCTCTCACCAACAATGGTCAAAGTCACAAAAATGTCATAAATTGCGTATATTTTTTAGTTTTACTTGTGTATGTAACAAGAATTCTAATGATTTTTTTCGTGTAGGGTTGCCATTTTTGGATAGCAAAAAGGAGTTTTGTCTTGTTTTTTTTATTTATAAAAATCATCTCTCGCGCTAAAACTTTTCGTGTTTTAATATCATATGTTGGCTGGCCTTTCTAGCAGCTTGTGTAAACTACAACCATAATATAGGTGTCGCCATTGAAGAACCGAGTAATGAGAATTAATATACTACATTACTCTCCGTCCTCCAAAATTGTCTTATTTTTCCTTTTCCGCCCGTCCTACTAATTTTGTCTCATACTACATTTGGTAATATTTTGGGTCATCCGGAAAGAGTCTCTCTGTGCTTTAGTACAGGGGTAAGGTTGCGTACATCCGACCCCCCCTACCCTACCGTAGGTGGGAGCCTTTATGGCACTGGGTAAATGAAAATGCAAATGAAATGATTACATTTGGTAATATTTGGCAAAATAGCTCACTAAACTGTCTGCGCTTCTTTGTTCTGAAGCAACAGTCAATCTATGTAAATGTAATTTTGGACGCGATTTTCACTATGGGTCATCCGGAAACAGTCTCTCTGTGCTTTAGTACAGGGGTAAGACTGCGTACATCCGACCCCCCCTTACCCCACCGTAGGTGGGAGCCTTTGTGGCACTGAGGTAATGATGATGATGACTATATTTGGTAATATTTGTGTGGCTCTAATTCATTCTTACTTTATTTCCACTTTATCAATTCATTCTCAACCACATAACTCTATTTTTCTTAAAAACCGCACCACTTTCCTTTGTCTCAATCCTAGGGGGAGGGAGGTAGTAGTAAATTACTTGAACATTATTCTCTCCGAGATTTTTAACCACATGACTCTATTTTTCTTAAAAACTACACCTTTTTTTGTCCCAATCCTAGGGGGGCGGAGGTAGTAGAAAATTACTTGAACATTATTCTCTCTCAGATTTGAGTTTCTACTTTCTACATATAATTTGCATGTGGTTCAAATTTGTGATATTTTATACACGCAGGATCAAATTTTTAGTTTGATATTGTTATTTCAGTGTTCGTCCCTTTGGTAAGTTTAAGAACTGCTAGATCATGACTCATATATGGATATCAATAGTTCAATACATCATGTGAACAAGCTACTAGTGGCGTGGAAATTTCACACCGTTTATTTGTGAGGAATTCATTTTTGCAGGGGCCTTTCGCTTTGTATAAGGGGTTCCTTCCCAATTTCACTCGACTAGGATTATGGAATGCTATCATGTTCTTGACTCTGGAGCATGTAAGTACTGCATATTGCATGTAAGCACTACACACAAATATTTGCATTTGCCTATACTTGTATAAAGAAATGATTGTTGCTGGTTTGCCTAATGATTTTGCGTTTTTCCTTTCTAATCTAACTGATTGTATGAAAGTTGAAAACATCGTCGTTGCTAAGAATAAATTTCACTTTTGACCAAACGAGAATCGGGCCATTCTACATGTGGTCTTTGTTTTCACTATTTCCACATTCAGTGCACAAATTAAAAGTTTCACCATATTTTCCTTTAAGGGTGTGCATTCTCCTCCCTTAGAATGCTCATCAAGCCAAAAGTGGAATATTTTGTTCACTAGAGGTGCACTCTTCTGTTGTAATTTACTATCTTTTATTTTCCCTAAATAATCTTCTCATTTCATGGAAAAAATTGTGTAGTTAATATGCATCCTCTCCCTTCTAAATAAATGTTATTCTTACAATTTGATTTTCTCATACTCTGTCCGGAATCCAAATGAGTTGAGGTACTCCACATAACTTTTTTTGTTTTCAAATTTCCCTGACAGGTCAAGGGATTCTTCAAATGACAAATTAGAACAACCAAGGATTTTACCTTTTAGCCCCCGCTTTGATTAGCATCAACCTAGACATTCTTTTTGATTGACGAAATACATAAGCTATTCTTGCGATCAGGCCCTACATTGCTCTTAGACATGAGGATCAGAGGGGAGATCACATATTATCATCTTGCAATAGCGCTTTGCGGTAATGCAATGGTACTGAATTTCTCTCCCGGGTTATTAGTTAAAAGAGAATTACGGGTGAACAAAGATGTCAAATATACAATGTCATACTGAGGAAGCGAATACCACGCGAAAAATAGCAGAAGCACATTGAGTGAGACATTGGATAAATAGAATTCTGTTCAAACGTGCCCTTTATTCATTTGTATGAATTTATATTACCAGATTGTTATATTTTCAAAGCATTCATATTAGGGCCCTGGATAGGGACGGACCGGTTCCGGGCCGGGCCGGGCTCCGGGCTGGTCCAAACTGGGCTTTTTATTTTTTGGGAAAGGCCCGGAACCGGCCCGGGATTCCACCGGGTCTGGGCCGGTCTCGGGCCGGTTCTTTTTTTGGCTTTCTAATTAACCCCCGACCCTCAAACCCCCCCAAAACACCCAACCCAACTCGGGAAAAACAAAAAAAAATTGAAAAAACATTTAAAAAAAGGCCCGAACCGGGCCCGGCCGGTTCCTCTTTTTACAAAGTTCGGGAATTTGATTAATCTTTTTTAAAGTACGAGGACCTAATTGACAGTTTTTCTTATAATTTTCTACGGAGTATATTTCAACAAATTCAGTCAATCCAACCGCTTAAATCAAAACATCATAAATTCAAGCAGATTCAATCGAATGAACCAATTTCGATACTAAGGTGCTGTTCTGTTCGTCTTATTCTTATTACTTATTGCTTATTCTTATTTTATTCAGATCAGATCAGATCAGATCAGAAAAATTCAGATCAGATCAGATCAGATCAGAAAAATTCAGATCAGATCAGATCAGATCAGAAAGATTCAGATCAGATCAGATCAGATCAGAAAGATTCAGATCAGATCAGAAAGATTCAGATCAGATCAGACCAGATCAGAAACATTCAGATCAGATCAGAAACATTCAGATCAGATCAGAAAAGTTCAAACATGATTTATCACTTTTATTATTATATTAATTATTATTATTAATATTGTTATTACAATTACGATTATTATTATTATATAATTATTATTAATAATATTAATAATAATATGATAACAAAAATAAGATATTAATAATAGTTATAATATTTTAATATAATAATAGTAATATAAATGTAATTATTAAGAAGATCATCATCATCATCATCATCATCATCATCATCATCATCATCATTATCATTATCATTATCATTATTATTATTATTATTATTATTATTATTATTATTATTATTATTATTATTATTATTATTATTATTATTATTATTATTATTATTATTATTATTATTATTATTATTATTATTATTATTATTATTATTATTATTATTATTATTATTATTATTATTATTATTATTACAATATAATAATAATATGATTAATGTTAATATAATATAATATTATAATTATATGTAATTATAATTATAATTACAATTATAATTCTTATAATTATAAGTATAATCAATTGTATTTATTATAATTATATCTATAAATATTTATAATTATAATTGTAATTAATCATAATTATAATAATTATAATTATAATTACAATCATAATTATAATTATGATTATAATTATAATTATAATATAATATTATAATAATATAATACTTATTATAATAATAATAATAATCATATTATTATTATTATTATTATTATTATTATTATTATTATTATTATTATTATATTATCGTAATAATAATATGAATATAATAATATCATTATTATAATATTAATTGTATTTATGTTACTGTTATTATATTATAATATTATAATTAATGTTAATATAATTATAATTATTATTAATTATAATTATAATAATTATAATTATACTTATAATTATAATTCATGATTATAATTATTATTATTATTATTATTATTATTACTATTGTAATTATTTTACGGAGTAATTATAATAATATTGATAACTATAGTTACAATTATAGAGATAAATATTGTAATTATAATTACAATTATAATTATATAAGTAATTATAATTAAAAATATAATTAAAATTATATTATATCTATATTTATAATTAGTGTAATAAGTTCAAATTTTTTCATTTTAAATTTAATTATTATTATTATTATTATTTTTATAGTTACGATTATAATTATAATTTTATTTAAATTATATTTGTAATTGCAATTATAATAATTATAATTATAATTATAATTATAGAAATATTCAAATCAGATCAGATCAGAAAGATTCAGATCAGATCAGAAGGATTCAGATCAGATCAGAAACATTCAGATCAGATCAGACCAGATCAGAAACATTCAGATCAGATCAGAAAGATTCAGACCAGATCAGATCAGATCAGAAAGATTCAGATCAGATCAGATCAGATCAGAAAGATTCAGATCAGATCAGATCAGATCAGAAAAATTCAGATCAGATCAGATCAGAACTTAAAAAATTCAGATCAGAAACATTCAGATCAGGCGAAGAGAACAGCTTCTAAATCATATCTTTCCTCTTTGATCTATCTCATTAAAATTGTACTCCCTCCGTCCCTTATAACTTTGCTAAGTTTGATCGGCACGTTGATTAATAAAGTAAAATTGTGTGATTGAGGTTTGTGCAGAGGAGAGAGATTTAATCGGGACCACAAATTCTTTACTTAAAAGGCAAAGTGATAAAGTTAATGGATATCCGAAAAGGGAAAGTTGGCAAAATTTTAAGGGACAAAGAGATTAACATATTAAATTCCATAATGTTTGTGTGGTTCCAAAGCAGTCTTACTTTATTATCACTTTGTCAATTCAATATCAATCACATAAATTTACATTTCTTGGTAAATAACCCATCTGATTTTGTACCAATATTAAGGAATGGAGGTAATAAATTGTTACTTATTATTAGTATTATTTATATTATTTATATTGTTGCATTATCTCATTTTATACAATGCTTTATAATTTAATTTTATCACTTCATTGCATTCTTATTATAAACGTTATTACTACTATTAATTATTTCAGAACTATTATGTTAGAATGTTTTTACTTGAATTGAGATTTACTGATCTGGCCTGTTTATGTATGTTTTGATTGGATCTGGTCTGAACTGAGCTGGTTTAATATATGTTTGGTCTCTGTGTATTTTATAATTATAGAAGTCTGATCTGATTTAATTTGAATGATTTAAATCTGATTTAGTCTGATCTAATTTATTTAAATCTGGTCTAATTTGGTACGAAAAAAAGCCAAAGGGAAAGAATTCATATAGGGAGTACCTGTTTTTCTAAACGTAAAAACGTAACGACAACCACCAATGTAGAATTTTATTTAACCGGAATTGAATGAAATTTCGGATCCGATCATCCAGAACCTTCTGGTCCCAGCTGGTGGTACTATAAATTGTTTTCCCTTCCGCGTTTTTCATCCGATTATTAATCGTCTTTGCGTATCATAACATATACTCCGGTTAAACGTAGTAACATTGATCTTCCGCTAAGCTTGCCGGCAAACGTAAGTCCTTAATCACTTATTTCTTTATTATTATAATTGTTCTTTATTAGGGCTACGATAGTTATTATTTGGAAAATTTACTTCACCTGCATCTACGTGTATGAAACCATCAATCCTTGATGATCAACGTTGAAAGACGTAAATTATTGAGATTCGAAAGATATATTGGTGTTTTATGGCTATTCTTGTTATTATATTATTATAAAGCATAGCATATCCAAGATATAAAATTCTCTATTTAGATATAAAGCATAGCATAATTTCATTGTAAAATATGATCCATTTACTCATAACAATACGACTAAATAAATCCTATCTTGGGAAGCACATACTTAGTTCAATTTTAGATTTTTTAAACAATTTATTTTTCTTGTTAATCATCTGTCTAAGCCAATTTTCTGCAGTTTGAAGTGCGCGATTCTGAAGAACTGATTTTATGTTCATCTACGATTCCATTTGTTGACCTAATTGTTTGACTTGGGCATATCTGGCTAAAAGTCTTGTGTTCTGTTAATGTCTAGTAGTTCTAGCATGCTAGGATTGTATTCGTGTTCTGTATAAGCGTAATTATGTAGATTTAATCAGTTGCCAGAAGAGGGAGCCCAAAAAATGATGCTTTGAGTGAATCATAATTTCATCCTATCATCTTGATCAAACGTAGCATGCATTATTCAAGCTGCAAATGTATGCTTGTAACAGTTGTAAGCATTAACATCTGAATGACATATTGGTTAATTATTGCCTATGTGGCGTGCTTAACCTACTGGCCTTCAAGTTGAATTGTTTCACCTTTTCATTACTATTTATGAATCTACGCTCTATATTTCTTGAGGCTAACATGTGAAGAATAACTTTTTTGTTGCAGATGTCTTACTCCAAAAGATCAAGGTGTGTTTTGAAGTTGACGTTTTCTTGCCTTTTCTCTATTTCCTTATACATTTGCTCTGTTTCCTTTAATTGGCGTGTTCCCAAAATTCTAATTCTTTAATAGGTATTCTAGCTCTCCTTATTACAAGTATCATAGCAGATCTGTCTCAAGATCACTGTCCAGATCCCCATCTTTCTCAAGGAGCCAATCAAGGTTGTATCTTCTTTTAATTTTAGATGGGATGGCTAATATTATTCGATGTTTTTTTAAAATTGACCGTGGTTTCTTAAATGGGCTAATAGGAGTCGTTACTTGGACGATGATGCTGAAAATCCTGGCAATAACTTATATGTAACTGGGCTTTCACGCCGAGTGAGAGAGGAGGATCTTGAGATTCACTTTTCCTCTGAGGGAAAGGTATTTTAGGATCTTTGAAGCACAACTCGGTTTTGTTTAACATTATCTATCATTCATTTGTTTACATATACTCTCAGGTAGAAGATATTCATCTTGTTGTTGATCCATGGACCCGAGAGTCACGGGGTTTTGCTTTTGTGACTATGTCATCACTTAAAGATGCTGAAAGATGCATCAAGTATTTGAACCGTTCCGTGCTTCAAGGACGTGTTATTACCGTTGAAAAGGTAAAACTAACATTATCATCTGATTTTAAACTCAATTTCTTAGCGTAAATCCAGTGCAAATAATCTCTATCAAGTACTCGTATCTATGCATCATATGTTATTATGTTGTTTTATTATTTGAGATTGAAAAGTTAAAAGTTGTTTGCTTGTTTCTCCAAAGTTTCTGTGCCAGCAGATGTAGCAGCTCCACACCAAAGTCAAATTAACAAATCAAATCAAACCCATCAAGCAAAACAGACCATATGTAGTCAAGAGGGTTGTATGCCCTGCATTTCTCTCTTTTGCTTGCAATCTTGCCTTGCGACATATTCTAATCATTTCATAGCTTATCTGCTAGTTGGAGGTTTCATTTTTTTAATCTCTTAATCTTTACTGCTGCAGGCTAGGAGGAGAAGAGGCCGCACACCCACTCCAGGGAAGTATCTTGGCTTGAGAACAGCACGAGGTATAATATTATTCCTGAAGAAGGTGGAAAGTTTAGGTTTTGGTTTTAACGTTTAAAAGGCTAAGGCCAACTTTTGTTGTGAAGTGTGGCTCAATTTGCTCTTCTTTCTCTTAATAAGCTGAATAATCAAAATAAGTTGCTATCCACCTAGGTCATGCTCGGGGTTGTTTTAGTTGCTAGTTTTCAAATTTTATTGATGATTTTAAAAGTCACAGTTATACACGGTTAAAAAAACCAAAGCTTTTCATACTTATCAATCATAAGCTTATATGCTTATTTTGATAACGTTCTTTATCTGGTCCTGTTTTCTTTTAATGCTTTTATGATATTAAAAGTTAAAAATTCTATGATATGCTGTATAGTACTCCGTACTATACATCAGGTTCTTTTTATCCTTTTTCTTATCTTCTTTATCTTTCTTATACGGAGTATTGTTTTACCCTTTATATATATATATATACACACACACACACACACACACACACACACATACACACTTCGTATATTCTTTTTATCCTTTTAATTTTATCATTTTTATCTTTATCTTATATTTATCTGTATCTTACATTTATCTTTATCTTAGTTTTTTATCTTATCTTTTTCATCTTTTGTTTTTTACTCCGATATCATGTGTCAATTCCTGTTAGCGAACACCAAAATCTTTTGGGACTAAGGCTTCGATGTTGTTAAGAAATGAGAAAAAAAGGCCTTGTATGACTTAAGTGAGTGGTCACCAAACACTTCTCCTTTGAGAATTCTTTGATTCTGCAGCCATATAAGTTAAAATAACCTATACCATAAATTTTACTGATAATATGATATCTATAATAAACCAAAGCTTTTCAGACTTATTAATCATAAGCTTATATTGAAACATTCTTTTTCTGGTCTTGTTTTCTGTATAACTGTTTTTATGATATTAAAAAATTAAAAATTCTGTGATATACTGCATAATAAGTTAAAAGTCCCAGACCTATGGGCTATGGCTATACTAATCGAGTCTATTTCTAAGATTGCCACCACAAAAACTGATACTGAGTGTGTGCTCTCCGGTCTCCAAAATCTGTTTGTTTTGTTTGTTTTGTTTTAATAATGAAAAAACATGGCCTTGTGGCTGAAGCCAGTGTCAACAAACAATTATCCTTTCAGAATACTCGGATTCTGCTGCTATAAGTTGAAATAACTTTTATCATAAATCTTAATGCTATCTATAATATTTTTATGAATGCAGATCGACGGGGTTCGCGAGATTACTCTAGAAGTCGCTCCCTTTCATCTGAGAGATACAGGAACAGGAGTAGATCTAATTCACCATATTATAGGCGTAGACGTAGATCATACTCACCATATTATAGAGACCGCTCTTACTCTCCATATTCTCCTGTGTATGACCGTGGAATATCCTACTCAAGATCTGTGTCACGCTCGCCACGCAGCCGTTCTCCTTGCTCCCCTGTCTATAGGTACCATTCACCCAATGACAGGGATTACTACTACTACAACAGGAGGAGTGCGTACCGGTGTTCCCCTGATGAAAGAAGAGATTATTATTATAGCCGTCGAAGTCAGCGATATCGTTCAATTTCTCGGAGCATCTCACCCAGACGCCGGAGGTACATGAGAAGTTACACACCCAGCAGTGTATCTCCTCCTCGTGGCCATCGAAGGAGCTACTCAAGAAGTGTTTCGCCGATTCCTAGGAAGAGCTACAAATGGACTGATTCTTCTTATTCTTATAGGCGTGGGCGGCGTTCTTCTCACAAGAGTTGCTCCTCGAGAAGCCATTCATTGAGTGCTACTAGTGCGTCATCAAGATCCCATTCAAGATCGTTTACGCCTGAGTCTACCTCTCCATCACATTAATGAGTACTATCCATAGTTGATGTCTTTGGTGACTTGTTCTTTCTTACTATTAGTCACTGTTTTCTTGTTGATTTAGTCTTAGTTTCATAAAGACTCGCTGGTTGTCTGCCTTGATCGATGTTATCTTCTGAGCTAGGTGTCTTTTGCTCTTTTCTCTTAGTCTGAGGAAGACTGTGACACTATAGACCTTAAGCTAATAATGCTTTCTGAGATTTTAATGACCTCTTTATCAAAGACTAGTGTTGGCCTGTTGGGTTCGACCTTGGTCCAGGTTTTGTCTGGAACTAAGGGCAGACCTAGGCTGGCTCAGAACAGGCACATAGGTACCTATCCCTTTAAAAGTTGAACAAGAACTGGTCATATTGTCCCGCTTCCTGGTTGTGTGTGGATTTACAATACCTGACCCAGTTCAATTCAATTCCACTGAATCTGCCCATTTTTGTGAATTAGAACCGGCCAGCAGTTGTCTGCTCTTGGGTAATTACAACCAGATTGAGTTCTGATAATCAGAACTGGATATAGTTATGGCATATGGGTACCCACAATTACATTGATTTCGGACATTCAGAATCAGAACAAGATCGAGTTCTGATACTCAGAACTGCTTGTCCAATTATGGTCTAGAACTAGGATCACCCACAGTACTCTGTATTATTTATAGCTTCCCGTGTTTGCAAATATATAGGTGCAAAACTTTGTTTCAAAGAGTAGTCAATCTGAATCAAAATCGTGTACTAATATCAGTAATACGGAGTATGAAGTTTACGTTTGGTTAGTTGAAGTTTTTGGTTCATGTCAATGCTTGGGCCAAGGGTATTATAGAATTCACTTATCTGAAGAGTTTTTATTTATTTATTTATTTAACCACTAACAGATCCACATTCATCAAATGGGGAGCACCTTGGAAGCGTTCTTGTGTAACTAGGGTTCACAAATGAACAAAATCAGTACGTAGTATAAACTTAGCAATAAAATGAGATATAAACTTAGAAAGTAATCCACTTTCAGAAAATTGGGACTTTTAACAAATATTTAAAACTAAAGTAGAACACTTTGAATTTGAACGTGATGTATGCGAAACGTGTGGAACATCAGTCGCAATATGGAGGGAGGGTCTTACGGACTTACGCGGGTATTTTTTTTTTTGGGAATCTATTGTATTTATATAAGCCTATTCAAATTACAATGTTACCCTCTACCCTATGTGTTTATCAATCCTTATTTCACGCCTTATTTTATTATGGATCCATGTGTCTTCCTTTTTTCATAGATGACGAGTCTAATAGCTCTTGGTAAATTGGATTTCTAAAGCAAATGATAAATTGTGCACCAATGGTGTATTAATTATTCATTTAACCATTTATCGCAAATTTAAGTGTATTATTGGGTATATACCGCTATAGTAGGATCAAGTATTATGAGCTTTCTTTTCTCCAAAAAATCATGAATAAATGTCTGAAATTGGCGGACACCACAAGATCTTATCATGTATGATATGTCTCTCGTTTACTTGCTCTTCATCTACGAGATTATCGAGTGCTCGAGCGATTAACACATCGTTCGTTTACTTGCTTTATCACAATGTGGCATGATCCATCCCTTACTATTATTCTATCCCTTTTCCTTTGGGGATCTATTGGACTGCGGGGATGCGGTGTCACTAATTTCCCCATCTGCTAGTGCAATTGAAATGTGGCGCCTTTCCTATTCTATAAGGAGGGAAATGTGTTGCACTATTTTTGGTGTAGTGGAAGCGTGACGATCCTCATATGGTATCAGAGTCTAAGGTCAAAATTTGACCCCAACAACAACATGTTGCGTCGTTGGGGTTTTTCACTGGCAAGACTGGATGCAGCATTAACAGAGATCATCAATATACCTTTAGCGGGTTAGAACACACGTAAAACAATCCATTAGTGGCCCATTGTTGTAATCATGTCTCTCAGGTCTAAGGCCTCAGAGTCCAACCCATGTTCCCTCCATGAATACCCCTTGGGGGTAAAAGGTTCAGAACTCATTTATTGCAAGTTCTCTCTCTCTCTCTCTATATATATATATATATAGATATAGATATATATATATATTAGCTCTCCCTTCTCTTTAGCACTTCGGCTTTACCGGGAAGCTATCAACACTATTTCCATTTGATTAAAAAATTCGGAGTTTGAATCATATTATTTTAATGAAATTATTTTGTTGGGTTTTTCTAAAATATTATAAAATTGATGCTTATATTCAAAGAAGTTACTCCTTTTACACATGAACAAAAAGTTAACTAACAATATAAATATTTGGAAAAATTGTCAATGAATGTCACTGCCGTCACCACATATGTCATACTGTCGTGATTGTCGAAATTTTTGTAATGACCTTTTTCGGTGTTTTTTAAAAGTTGAAAGATATTTCTCAATGAAATATTTTGGTGACTCTTTCAGCTACCAGTAATGCAAATTTTCAAAGGCTCGGGGACAGTGATTAGAATGTTTAATAAATAAAGATTAGTTACATTTTATAAAAGGAAATTACTCATATTTTTTCTTCTATAAATTTGAAGCAACATTTCTATCATTTTTTCTATAAACAAAGGTGGGCAAGGATTAAACAAAATCCCATAATTTGAGTTATTCCACCTATTGAGTATTGAGTAGTATTAATCAGTCATGTTCTACAGATATTGACTGATCCTCATATTTGAGAGGTGCAAACTTTTTTGTACTAATAAATACTCCCACTGAATGGACCCGCATGCCCGTGCCCCCGTCTCTCTCTGCTTTTCTCACTGTCACTTTCTGCAATCTCCCACCCCTTCCTACTCTTGACCAATTCATTATTATGCGCCCTAATGCTCTTCTCGCCCAAATCAATGGCGCTCAAACCCGATCCACTCACCCGAACCCGCAACTTCTCTGCATGTTACCGCCACCGAGCCCAGCCCTCAACCGGAATCTGCGCCGCGTGCTTGCGCGAACGTCTCTCCGGCGTCGACGCTTCTGCCGACCCCGAGCTCTCCTCCTTGCCCATCATTCCGTCCTTGCTTCCTCCCGTATCCGGTGACGCTGGACGCAATGCTGGAGTTTATGGTCGTCGGAACAAAGCTGGAGATCCCTCGTCCTCCTTCGCGCCGGATCTCCGGCGGAGTAGGTCAGTTTCCGGTATTCACCTTGAGGGTTCGTGTAGTTCCTCTGAGCCCCGTCGCGTGTCTTGCGATGTTAGGGATCGGAACACTCTCGCGCTTCTGTTTGACACCAATGACTGTAAGATTGGGCCCACTGCGGAAATTGAAGAGGAAACGAAGAGCATTGGATGCCCCAAATTAGGTTGTGTTTCTGGAGAACCAATTAAGAATGCGGAAATTGACAGAGAAAAAAGGGTTTCTACTCCTAGCATTCCGATTGTGAATGATGTTGACATGGAGGAAGGGGAACTCAAGACTATGAAGGAGTATATCGATCTCGAAGTCCAGTCTAGGAATCAGAAATCTAAAGACTTGAGGGACATTGCTGGGAATTTCTGGGAAGCTGCTTCAGTTTTGAGCAAGAAGTTGCAAAAATGGAGGCAAAAGCAGAATGCTAATGCCAAGAGGGTTAGTTCTAAAACTCACGCTGCTCATGGGCTTCCTATGATTAGAAAGAGTGGTAAGCAGAACATGGAAAACTTCAGGGAGACGCAATCTGATGTTGGGGAAAACGCAATGGGTAGAAGATCTTGTGACACTGAACCTCGAATTTCTGTTGAAAATCCCCATATTATGATGATGGATGAGCCAAGGGCATCTTGGGATGGTTATTTAGTAGCTAGGAACATCTCTGGGCAGTCTAATTCAGATTCATCTTTCTCTCAAATGGAGACTACTTCTGACCGCTCCAGTTCTGTACTCAGTTCTGTAGAGTGTCACCATCACGAGTCTACTAAGCCTGAAAGGGTCAAGCTGGTTATCACAGAGAAAGAGCTAAAAGATTGGCACCTTAAGTCTGTCAAAGATCGTTCCATCAAAAAGTTAGAGTCTTTCCCCACAGAAACCCCTGCTGCTGTTGAATCTTGTAATAATAACAATAATAATAATCAATGCTTGGAAAGCACAACAAAGAAGGCTTCCACGTGGAGGAAGAAAGTATGGAATGTGTTTGGTTTCAAGAAAAAACTCGGTGACACCAATGGTGTAAACTTGTCAGCAGCTGGGGAATCCAGTACACGTTTGAGTCTTGATAATTCAGTAAAGCCAAACAGGCTTACACGTAGCAGCAGCGTCGTTAGAGCTAGAAATTCGACTGATGATAAGATTGAAGTGATTCCGGGTAGGAGTAGTGTTTCTGAAGGTGTTGGATATTATAATGCTAATAATCATAATAACAATAATGGGAGGTTTCTTCTGTCAGAAAGGAACAGGAATGCGAAATGTAGTTCTGGAAACTTAGATAATGGTTTGCTGCCATTTTATTTGATGCCACTGAGGACTTCAAGGAGCAAAAATACTAGTCGAAGTATGCTACTCAACTCTGATTGTATTTCTGAAAATGTCTTGAATTGAAAGTGAATGATTGCCAAGTTGCCTTCATTGTATCACAATTGTTCATCAAATGTTAAAGAGTATTGTATTATTATCACCATCTTAGTTTCTTTGTAAGCTTAGTTAGTTTGCTCTGTATATATGATTTATATTGTTATTATGAAAATATATAAATTTTAGTAAAAAACATAAATAAATTTGATGTCACGATGTGTTTTCTTAAGATTTGTTTTGTATATATGGCTCTTTTTTTCTCTATACGTTGCTTGGTGCTGTTTATAGAATCTGTTCTAATTCATGTAGTTACAAGATTTTGTGATGAAGCCCTTCTTGTAATTACAAGTGTTAATTGTTACTTGTGTGTGTGTGTGTGGGGAGGGGGGGGGGTCTATTATTCATGTATATATGACCTATATTGTTTATTATGAAATTATATGGTTTTTTAATCTGCAGTCTCTACGGATCTATCAAGTCTTTCATGTAAAGAGATGCCTTGCCAAAGCATCCACGTTAACTTTTATATGCAGAAAACAGTATTGAATATGGACTGATCATGAGCATAATAAATAAGGAGGTTCTATAGGATTTAGAATCAAGAGTAGCAGAAAGCTTATTCTATTGTTCACTTGGGTTCAGTTTGATTGCAGGAAAATAACTCGGTTGGCAGTTCTGTTTGGTCTATTTAACTTAGTCTGTTCGTTTTTTAATAATGAAAATAGAAAAACTGAATTGAATTACTTAAGTTAATTCTGGTTACTTTTTGATGGGTTTGTCTGTTTTCACATGGTTTTGATACGTTTTCGTCAAATTTTAAAGACAACCTATCACAAACTGAAACATCTATGTCTCTATGATCATACAACTATACAAGTTTGGTCGGTTTTGGATTGGCAATTTTTTTGCTTAATCTCTGGTCAACAATGGCAATGTTTTAAAGCAATATCCCTCTCTATCGAAATCTTCTTAAGAATGAATAAGAAGTCATTACGCCAGACCCCTCTCTGTCGTAATATCCTTCAACACACCAAAATAGTATGAGTTGTACTCATCTCCTTGCTTTCATTCCAATAATTATTAAGCATTACCATTTTTTATCAAATGAAACACATAAGCTTTTCCTTAAATTAGTGCATACCAGAGATCCTTAGTATGATCAAGCATGCCGCATTGCCGATGACAGCAGACTCGGTATCTGCACTCTCATGCAAAAGAGATGTTTCTACTAGGCTTCTCAGTTCTTACGCAGACATAATTCTGAAACTGGCTCGGACAGGAATAGGACAGGTGAAAGAACTTGATCAACATTCCTCCAAAATAGGAACGTAACAGACCACTTTCATTTTTTCTTTAAAAATAAGCTAAAAATCGAAAATGGAAATAGACTGGAACCGAGTCCAAACCAGTATACACGGTTAAGATTTGGGTGTCTTTCACATGTGGAGGCTTTCACACGGTTAAGTATGTTATACCAGTTTACTAAGGCTTTCACATGGTCAAGTATACTGATAGTTAAGCTTAAGCGTACCTTGATGTGAAAGCTTTCACATGAAAACTAAGTTGAAATCATACTGGTTTCATTTGAAATTACTGGTAGCTTAGGCGTTACTTTCATAGTTGAAATTACTGTTTTCACACGGTTAAGTATACTGGTAGTTAAGCTTACGCATTAGTGTATGTGGAGGTAGTTGGAGGTTCAGGAGGAAGGTTTTCGGCTTTTCGCCATACCTTCGGTGTGGAGCAGCAGCAGCTAGAATTTCAATCTTCACCACAGGCAGCCTCCACTCACTCCAAAAATGAACTGTCCATCGCTGCAACCTCCCAACCTTAAGGCTTCCATACCTCCCTCATCACTGCAGCAGAAGAGCAGAAAGAGCACACTTCTTCCACGGCCACCCTCCTTGCCCACAGTGTCTGTTGTAGGAAGACTCCCTGTGCAAGCCTGCCAAAAGAAAATCTTACAAACGGAGGGATTCTAAAACCCCACATTTCATTCCAGCCAAAGCACTCTTCTTGATTAGCTTTCCCTCGAAGGTACCTATAACAGCTTAGCACATCGATAGCCATGGTGAATGTTGCCAAATCCCCACATCCGCCTACATTGTCTCGGTCCCAATTCAAATCATAAGCAATATGTGCACCGATATTTATAGAAAAATAGAACCAGTTGAAAAATGTAGGACTTGAGTTTTTCTTAATTTCATTGTCATTATCTAACTGGTGTCATTCAATGTTAAAACATCGACCTCTTTAATGTTGCAAACTTGCAATAACCTCAATTTGGATGAGCAGCGGCCTGAAGCTAAAAGAAAGAAAGAAAAAAGATGGCAGATGTGAACATCTAAAGTGTCTCTGTTTATTCATGCCGGTTCTTCAATCATCGTAGATTCAAACTTCATAACCAAAAGTTCTCCTTCATATCTTGATTTCAACTTTGCAGTAATTTGACATTTTCATGTCTTGATTTCATCATTTTCAGAAACGAGTATATACTTCATTCGTGACTCGTGAGTGTTGTTTCAAGCTCGGCAACCTGAACTCTAGTAGTTCTATTTCATTTGCTAAGATAGAGAAATCATCATGTCAGGCCGACCTGACCGGGAGAGCCGTCCGGCCGAGCCCTTTTGGGGACCTTCCCGGTGGAATTTTTTGATGAAATTTTTTGAGCATGTTCCTCATCAAGTCTAGTTTGTCCACACCAAATTTCAGCTCAAAATTCGACCGGGAAGGCATTCAAATCATTTTTTGAAGTTGACTGCGTCAAAGTATACATATAAAACTGCAGTCAACTTCAAAAAATGATTTGAATGCCTTCCCGGTCGAATTTTGAGCTGAAATTTGGTATGTACAAACTAGACTTGATGAGGAACATGCTCAAAAAATTTCATCAAAAAATTCCACCGGGAAGGTGCCCAAACGGGCTCGGCCGGACGGAGGTTCCCGTCAGGCCGGCCTGACAAGAAGAGTTCTCTACTAAGATATACATTATTTCTTAGATGGTCTAAATAGTATCAATTCTCTTAAATTGAACTACACTAATTTTCTTTATTGCCACTATCTATATCATCTCCTTTGATTTCCACATATTCTATAAGCTCATACATCCTTTTTATTCCAATACTAGTATTTCACCCGTGCGTTGCAAGGAATAAAATTTATTTTATTAAACAGTAGTAGTGTGTGGTTTATAATAAGGGAAAGTTCCTGAAATAGGACTAAAACAGTTTGAAAATTCTAAAATAGGATTGACATGTTGTTATTCCCAAAATAGGAGTAATTACTGCCAAGCTTGAAAAATACTGCCATGTTTGAAGTCTGGTACTGTCAAAACATGGCAGTAAATAGTCCTATTTTGGGAATAAAAACATGGCAGTCCTATTTTGGAATTTTCAAACCTTTTTAGTCCTATTTCGGGTAATATCTCTTATAATAATACTTTAAGAAATATTTGTACTATAGTGCAGGGGCGGATTCAGGAATGAGGGGTGGGGTGGGCTAAGCAGTAAAAATTTTCGTTATTACATACAAAAGGTTTAGCTTAGGACTAATAGTTATTGAAGTGAGTTTTTTTTCGAACTACTCGAGTTCGATCATGATTTCGAATTTTTAATTTACTGACCAAAGCTTAACGAGCTTCAATCTCGAACACGGACTAAATTTTAGTTTAAATAGTTTGTTTTTACAACAAAAAAAAACGGCCGTTATTTTTTTGAGTTTGAATAGTTATTCAAGCTGAATTCGAGCATAGTCATGTTCAGTTCGATCTGGACTCGAGCATATTCATAACTTATAATTTATAGAAATAAACTATATACTACCTCCGACTTTTATTAAGACTAATTTGACTTTTCAAGTCAAAGAAGTTAAACTTTGAATGACTATATATTTATACAATAAGATTGATAATATGAAAATGAAATGGAAATGTTCTTTGTTAAAAAGTTTATCATAAAAGTATAAATTTAGTAAGTTTCACATTAATACATGAGTTAAAATGATGGATCGAAGTTTACCATCTTTGAGTACGTAAAGAGTCAAAGATGGCTAAATAAAATGAGACAGAGGTAGCATATCTAGCTAAAATTTAAACGTTTTTAGTGTGATTTATAATTTTATTATTGATTATTAAAGATTTTAGTATTTATTGATATGAAAATAGTCGATGTACATAAAACTAATAAGTATTCCCAATTTTAAAATTGAATTGAGATTTTGAATCCATTCTTACATGCCTAAACAGTAAATACATCGTTCTCTATTCTTCAATTGCATTATAAATAAATCATTTTCTAATCTTTAATTCTATCTTTAATCATTATAAATTTATAATAATAAATAAAAACTATTTTACTATCTACTGAAAAAATTCAATTAATAATCAAATAGAATTACAAAGTTGGTAGGCTTGGGCTGGGCTAGACATTAGTTTTGAGGTGGGCTGGAAATTAAACCTATACCGATAATAATAAAAATAAATTGGGCTGGGCTGGAGCCCACCCCTGCCCCAACATAGATCCGCCCATGCTATAGTGTTTATGATATTTATATTAAGAAATAGATTGATTTATTAGTAGTATGGTGTTTATGATAATATATTACTACCTCCGTCCCATTTTATGTGTCTTAGTTTGACTCGGCACGATTATTAATGAAGTGGTTGAAAAGGTAAAAGTTGTGGTTGAGATTTGAGTATAATAAAGTGAAATGGTGTAGACCACACATTTCTTTCCAAAAAGGGAAAGAAGACACTTATTTTGGGACAACCCAAAAAGGAAAGTAGGACAGGTAAAATAGGACGGAGGGAGTAACAAATTGATAAATTAATCTAACGTCGCTAATGGTGTTGCATACACAAAGAAGATACTCTGTTAGTGGTAAATTAAAAATAAGCAAATTTTATAACAATAAAAGTCACTAAATACACGATATAATTCCCCAATCAAGTAATTATCTACCCTAATTAAGAGAAACTTAACTAAAAAGAAGCAAAACATTTATAATTCATTTTCTCAAATAAAAGTAACACTATTTTCTTCCAAAAATAAAGCTCATACACACCTCTACTTTGGAAACTTGTATGTTAAAAATAAAACATACTTCAAATTTTTGGAAGTTTATTCATGGTTATAAACTATTTATTTAAAAGTTTGCTACATTTTTCTTTTTAAGATGTATTTAAAAGTTTGCTACACTTTACATTTTGGTAAGTTTTTCTTTTAAAAA